TGACATATCAGATAAAGGGCTAGTATCCAAAATCTATAAAGAACTCATCAAACTCAACATCCAAAGAACAAAGAATCCAATCACGAAATGGGCAGAAGACATGAACAGACATTTTTCCAAAGAAGATATCCAAATGACCAACAGATACAGGAAAAAGTGTTCAACATTGCCCGGCATCAGGGAAATCCAAATCAAAACCTCAATGAGATACCACCTCACACCAGTCAGAATGGCTAAAATTAACAAGTCAGGAAATGACAGATGTTGGCGAGGATGCGGAAAAAGGGGAACCCTCCTACACTGTTGGTGGGAATGCAAGCTGCTGCAGCCACCCTGGAAAACAGTATGGAGGTTCTTCAAAAAGTTGAAAATAGAGCTCCCATACAATCCAGGAATTGCACTACTGGGTATTTACCCCAAAGATAAAAATGTAGGGATCCGAAGGGGTACGTGCACCCTGATGTTTATAGCAGCAATGTCCACAATAGCCAAACTATGGAAAGAGCCAAGATGTCCATCGACAGATGAGTGGATAAAGAAGATGTGGTATATATATACAATGGAATATTATGCAGCCATCAAAAGGAATGGAGATCTTGCCATTTGCAACGACGTGGATGGAACTGGAGGGTGTTATGCTGAGCGAAATAAGTCAATCAGAGAAAGACATGTATCATATGACCTCACTGATATGAGGAATTCTTAATCTCAGTAAACAAAATGCGCTGTGAATTGTGCAAGACTGTTGAATCAGAGATCTGTACCTCTGAAACAATACATTATATGTTAAAAAAAAAAAAAAGAAGAAGAAGATAGCAGAAGGGGAAGAATGAATGGGGGGAATTGGAGGGGGAGACGAACCATGAGACACTATGGACTCAAACAAACTGAGGGTTCTAGAGGGGAGGAGGGGTGGGGGGATGGGTTAGCCTGGTGATGGGTATTAAAGAGGGCACATTCTGCATGGAGCACTGGGTGATATATGCAAACAATGAATCATGGAACACTACATCAAAGACTAATGATGTGATGTATGGTGATTAACATAATAAAAAAAAAAACAGAAAAAAAATATTTTAAGCACAGTTTAATTCTGAATTATTGAGGCAAATTCCCTGCCGGAGAAATCCTCACTGGAAAATGTAGGTATACAGGTGGGCATGCCTGTACCTTCATGTATATTTTACTATTATAACCCTCCTTTGTTTTTTCATTCTCTCCTGGGGCTTCCCTGGCAATCAAGATCATGGTTAGTTTTCCCATGGGTACTTTGCTCTTGAAAGGTGACCTAATGTCCTGATACACACTGCATGCACTACAGGAGATTGCTGTAACCCCTAAAGGCATTCTGATGCCAGTCATCCAGCTCTACTGAGGTAGAAACCCTGGTGTGGAGACTTCTAGTGGAAGAGGCTCCACCTCTCAGTCTCCTCCATCTCACATCAGCTTCTGGGTCAATGCAAGAAGAGTTGCTCGTCTCCTTTAGCATGTTAACTCTGAGGAGTCACTCCAAAAAGCATTTAGTGGTTCATCCCTCTCCTGAATTCTTAAATCATTCACTGTTCTGAATCTGTTATAGTAATTGCTAATTAACTTTAGTGAAGGTATGAACCCCTTCTTTGGCCAAAGAAGCAGGGGACGTCTATGTGTTCTAGGTGGCTAGAAGGATGAAGAAATTCTTCTTCCTGCCATGATTATTTCTCCATCACCATCTCTCAATGTTTCTAGTCCAGTGTCCCCTCACTGAGCTCAGATGATATCACAGAGTTCACTGTTGCTATTTGATAGGTTTCACAAGCAGATCAATGCATTGTTAGAGATTCGGAGCCATAATAACAGAGATGTTAAGTCAGCAAAGCAGTGTTTTTGCTCAGAACTCTTGTTTCTATTCACAGAGAAAAGGAAAAACACCACAATGTAGGCTGGAAACATTTATACTATCTGTCCACAGGATATGGACAACAGATCACAAAAGAGAATATACAAATGGCTGATAAGCATAAGAAATGGTACTCAATTTCATCAACCATTAAGACAACACAAGCTAGGGCGCCTGGGTGGCTCAGTTGGTTAAGCGACTGCCTTCAGCTCAGGTCATGATCCTGGAGTCCTGGGATCAAGTCCCGCATCGGGATCCCTGCTCGGCAGGGAGTCTGCTTCTCCCTCTGACCCTCCCCCCTCTCATGTGCTCTCTCTCATTCTCTCTCTAATAAATAAATAAAATCTTTAAAACAAAAAAAAAAGACAACACAAGCTAAACCCATGTAATGTGGTACCACTTCACACCCATCAATTCAGTAGCTAAAATGGAAAACAGACAACAGTAAGTGTTGGTGAGGATGTGGAGCAACTGGAACTCCCATACACTCTGATGGCAGTGCAAATTAGTACAACTGGACCCAACAGCTCAGTGTTAGGTAGACTTCCAAGAGAATGTCCATATGCTCACCAAGAGGCATATACAAGAATGCTCTGCAGTACTCCAGAACAGCCCACAGCAAAAACAACTTAAAAGCCCACCAACAATTGAATGGAACCACTGAAATAGTCCTACAGAGGAATACTGTATAATTTTACTTACGTAAAATATTCAAATAGGCAAAATTAAGCTACATTAGAAGTTAGGATAGTGGTTACCTCCTCGGGGGAAGTGACTGGGAAGGGGGACACAGTGGGCTCTTCTGGGGGCACTGGTAATGAATGTCTTGTTTCATCTCCTTGGTGGCTACATGGGTGCGAACTTTGTGAAAATTCATTAGGCTGTATCCTATGATTTTTCCATTTTTCTGTATATGTTTTATATTTTTCTGTATATACATTATACTTCCACATACGGTTATAAAAATTAATTCTGAGTGGCGTCCAGTTTCTCAGTTGTATTTCTATTCTCTTTCATGTTTTTCTTTTTTTTTTTTCTTATCGAGGTTGGGTGTATGTGTTTGTGTTTCGCAGTTGTTTGGCTGGGTCATGGAGAGGTGGGTAATGCAATGGGGGTAAGCTTGGTTCTTGCCCTATCCCATAGCAAGCGGGTCTGGCCAGGGTCAACAAATTGGATAATCAGAGTCAGATGCCTAGAGATGGCAGTGGCCTGAGAAATAATTTTACAGGATTCAGGAGAGAAAGCTGAGACCTAGAGAAGTTATTTAACTAAGTACATGCATCTGGTCTGTTGAGCAGTGGGGACAGAATCCGAATTTCCTGATTCCAATTCACATGGGCCTTATACACAGGCAGACGTGACTGTGAGTTACTTCTTCCACATTCATCACTATTTTTACATCATGATGGAAATTTTTAACTTGCCTCATTCCTAGGTGTTCAGTGATCATTGGCTCCCTTTGAATCTCCTCCTTAGGATAAATAACCTGACATCTATTAAAATGAAGCAATTGACCAGATTTCCTATTGTTTTCGGAGAGTGGATTCCCAAGAGAAATCACCATGAGGTGGCTAAGTTTTGCTGGAACTAGAACAACTCTAGGGCGATTATTCCCTGCCAGGAACTGCTATTTTCCATGGAAGCATTTTCCATGGAAGAAGTCACTTAATCCCCACAGCCCTGTGATGTAAACCTTCTTGTTACTCCCATTTTAGAGATGAAGACACTAAGACACAGAGAGGTTAATAACTTGTCCAAAGTCCTACTTACTAGTGAGTGCTGGGGTACAATGGTCCTGAACAGACTGCTCTTAACCACCTTCATGTGGAATGGGATAGTTTAAGCCACTATGGTGAGATGCCTGACCTCCTGAAGATGTTAGGATACTGGAACAGACAGAAGAGGGGGGAATATGGGGAAATGCCCAGAAAAGAGCAGGAGACTCATCACAACCAAGCAAAACAAACAAACAAACAAAATTCCAGGATTCATGTGTGTGTGTGCGTGTGTGTGTAACCATGTCAGAATATAAGTCATTAGTGAGTTATAGCGATCATCTAAATTGATCAAGCTAGGTTGAGAATTGTTAAATCTTTGCTTCGCTCTATGCTTCAAAGATTACACCAAAGAATATCAAAACTCTGTGATGAAAGGTACTAGCTAAATTTCAGGCCACAATGTGAAAAAAAAATTAAATAATAAAGTTTTGACTAGCGGAGAACATGGGAGTTTTCATTCACCGGCACCCACACCAGCCCCTCTGGCTCTGTGTCCTGATGTACCACGTCCATTACCAACTACATCCTCAAATGGACTTTCTCACACTTTCCTTCTTCCAACCATGCCAGAGCATGGCCATGATGTGTCTCAACAAACACACACTCTGATATCCATTCAAGATACTTGTCAATTGCAATGCGAACCCAGAACCCCATTTACTGCTTCATAGATTTGAATGAATCCTGAGACAAGTATCCTCTACACCAATACCCTTGTCCTGGAGCTCCACTGTTGAGGATTCCACAGAGAGGAAAGAACACTTGCCCCAAATCCTTTTCAAGTGTTTTGCATCCTGGATGCCACATTCAAGCCTGCCCGCCCTCAAGCACACCATACCACATTCTAAAAGGATGTCTTATGTGAGCAGGACACGAACAGATTAGCTAAAAGAAAACAAAAGGCCTCCCTACTACAGTGAAGGCTGGGCTTCACGGGGCGGCTGAACACAATTTCGCATTGAAATACAGTTTTCCCATTTCAAAGCAATGGAGAGGCATGCAGCTTGTTAGATTTATATAATGCCTGGGTCTCCCAAGACTTTACAAAGCGAACGGCATCCATCAAATTAATTTCCTTGGGGATCGTCTCAAACACGGAGAATAAAGAGGCCCAGACCATTAAACATCAAAAGAATGTTCTAAATGGTAATTAAAGTTCTATTATATTTTCTTTTTCTGGGAGCAGATTAGATTAATTCAATTGAGAATATTATAAGTATCAAAGCTGACAGTGTGAATGTGTCGAGTTGGCTGGAAGAATACTTAATATTGCAGACATCTGTTCATTCAAGTTACACAAAACACACGAGAGAGGGAGTCGACCCCGAGTGTGGGGTACTTACCAAGCCAGCACACGTAGACACAGCGATAGAAGATGAGCTGTCATTTCTGATAAATCCCTGATAGAAACATCGCTGCACTGCGGAAGGTTCCCGAGTCTCTGAAGCCCCATCTTTTCCAAGTACCTGGACAATAAAGTGACTGCTCAAAATCGCCGAGGGCTTAAGTTCTAAATGTAGTTCCTGTCCAAATGCTGAAAATCGGTAGTGCAGGGAACTGTGGGCACTCTGCGCCGATCGCTTTTTCCTGCCGTTGTGCAAAATGTCGTGTGAAATATACGACCCGCCCGAGTCCACTTCTACCGGGGTGACAAAGACGTAATCTGCAATGGGAAAGGTTTAGCTGTCAGCACCAAGAATCCACAGTGCCAGAGGGTCACCCTGCAACAGGCTTAAGTGCAAATACGCAGCTCAAAGGTGGCTCTGTTCCTACCGCAGTGCACCTAGATCCACAACAATTCAGAGCAGCTCATGAAGAGAGCTCTGTGGCCTTTGCCATGAGCTCTGTGACAGTGAGTCCTACAAAAAACGAAAAGTCAAGCACAGGCTTCATGCATGTCGAGAATGTTTGTGGAAAATGCCACAACTCTCTCTCATGGGCTGGAGAGACAGATGGATGAGTCAGAGCCATCCATACATAAAAAGTGATTTTTTTTTTTTTAGAGACAAAATAAAACCACAAAAGGAGAGAAAAGAACAATTTTTTTTTTCAGGAGATTAACATCTTTGTGTTTAAACTGAATTGGGAGCACTTGGGGAGGCCGAGCTTAAATTTCAAATGATAACTCACAGTGCTGAGTAAGTAACTTGAGATGGCATCCCAGATAATGAGCACCTACCGGCAGTTTCCTATTTCCGATATTAACTATATGTGATAATAAAACCCCAGCACTTGTATGGCTCTGAACATTTTACTCTGAGCTTTTACAGGGACAATCCCATCTCACTGTAAACTAAAATATAGTGGATGCATAAAAATGCCTCAAAATTGTCAGAACTTTCCTATAGAGTCTGAGGTTTAAAATTGCTCAGACATGTTGGTGGGGGAGTGTCAGTCAGGGGACACCTGGAAAGACATGTTTCAAAATACTTTCCCCATTGCTCTCTAGAGCAGCACTAATTGCTGCTTGTTCTAAAGGGGAGGAACTAAAAAAAAACCAAAAAAAAACTATCTGCTGCTGGAAAATTGCAGCCGGCACACTGTTTTTTTCTATCACAAAACGTTGAAACTGAAAAGTATCATCACAAGATGATCTGGAGCATGGCTTCTGCGTGTTCAAACACACTCTGCATTTCCACTTTCTAGGCACAGAATGGGAAACTAATTTGGAAAGTGTTTAGAAAGATTCCGAATAACTAAGAGGCATCTATGAGTCACTTGGGTCCTTGATTATTGGAGGAGGAAAAGAAAGAGGAATTTCCCTTTTCCCAAAATAGTCAACAACCAAATAAGAACAGCTCAGGAATGAACAGAAGCCTTGTAGCTAACAGGGATCAATGAGGGATATTCTAATTGAGCCTACGTTTGGGGGAAAAAAATCCCAACAGGATCATAACTTTCAACTGTTCTCTTCTGTACGAACCATCTGTGACTCTAATTGCTTGAGCAATTCCCATTCTCACAATGGACTTTATGTCTTGCCTCTCCCATTTTCTCCTTGACTCCTTTAACTAGAAATACTATCTAACTGACACACGTATTAAAAAACTAGAAAACTTTTTCTCCTCTCTTAATCTAAAAAAAAAAAAAAATTCAGCAGGCCATACACGATTTTTCGTTTAAAAATCTGCCACGTTGTTTTACAGCTATGCGACTCTTGATTAAATGCAAATTTTTTAAGCAAAAAACCACCTCCTTCCTCCACCGTACTAAAACCTAAGTGTGAAAACCCCACCTGCTCGTGCTCCAGTCTCTGCAAGAAGTCGTTTCTTACCTCCTTGTCCAGACCCACCCGCAACTCTGCCTGCTCCTATTTAGCAGGCCCTGGGGCAGCCTTATCCAGCCAGCCTTCCAAGCAATCAGCCCCCAAAGCGCCCTGCCCCAAACAGAGCTACTAGTTTGTTTCCAACGGGAGAATGAGCAGGTGGATGTAATATTCGGTCCTCGAGAGAAAGAGCGGCAGTCAGAGCCTCCTGCCGAGAGTGATCTAATCCGTTTGCTCAGGGGCTAAAGATGAGGTCCTTACAGGTGGTGGCTAGAACAGAGGGAACTACATGTGGAACAATGAGGGGTTGTTGTAGAAACTGCAGCCGGCCTCGCTCTCCCGGTGGACAAAAAGTGAATTTCTCAAGAGTTAATTCCTGGCTCTCTCCCGTCCCCTCACTCACCCACATCTTCCCAGCCCTTAACTCCATGACTCTGCCATCCCCCCTCTCCCCAGTATGCCGTGCTCTCCCTCAGCAGCGGGAGATGACCCTGCAAGGCTAAAAATTCTAGAATCTGGGTTGGACATCACAGTCTTGCTAGACACCTGGATCAGCTGTTCTCCTGTAGCTGGTGGGAACAATGGCATGAAGGATTTTCCACTGGGTCCCAGCAAGAAGTTAATTAATAAACGACAGACGGGAAGAGTGTTCTGGGACCCTGCAACTGGGAACCTCAGAAGAGATGAAAGCCCCAGAGACCTCAAGCTACCCGCTCTCCTCTCTCTAAAAGCAGTTTTTGGGAATCCATGACACAAGGGCAGGGGAAAGCAGAAAAGCAAAGGAAGATCAGGAACACAAACGGACAGGAAAGTGAGAAGGAAAGATGGGAGGAGGAGAGGAGGGGAGGGCTCACATTTTTTTCATCTCCCACCAAGAATTAGCTCCTGCAGGCTTTCCCAGAGGAGGAAGGAAATGAGGAAGGTGCCTTTTGGTATCAACCATCTAGTCCACTTCCTAATTTCTCACCACAGTAAGGATTTTTTTTTTTTTTTTAAACAAGCCATTTGTGAACGAAGGAAAGTACTGTTTTCTCATTTATGGGACTTACGGCTTGAGGCATGGATTCTTTTGCTCAGTTCCGAGTCCTTGCCACATCCCCACCACCCCCCTCGCCAAACAGGAGGCCTTCCCAGGACGCACGCACACCTGCCAGGCCGGGGGGTGGCGGAACGCGCCTTTCTACTTCTGCCTCTTTGGGGGGAAAGAAGGGGCAAGTGCCTGGCAAGGCCCTTCTGGGGGTGGGGAGCAAATACGCACCGACGTTTAGTCCGCCGCCGCTGCTGTCGCTGGCTAAGGCTGCGGCGAGCGACGCACAGCAGAGGCAGCAGAGCTGGAGCGCCTGCAAGAGAGAAGGCGACACCGCGCGTGAGGGGGCGCGGCCGGGCTGGCGCCGGGCGCCCGCTGCCACCCGCTCTCGCCGCGCCCCGCCCGGGCACCTGCCTTGGCCACGCGCCCCAGCCCCGCCGCATCGCACGGCGGGCGCGAGCGGGCGGCGGGGAGCGCGCACGCGAGCAGGAGGGCGCACTCCATGGTCAGGGGCGGGCGCGGCGGCTGCGGGCGGCCGGACGCGGCGGGCGCAGCGCACGGGCGCCGCGCATTCTCCCCGCCGGCCCGCAGCGCGGCGCTCCAGGTGCGGCGCCAGGTGCGAGCGGCCGCCGCTCACATCGCGGGCCGCGCACGCCGGGGCCTCCCCTCCTCCGGCCGCCCGCGCGCCCTCCCTGCTGCCGGCGCCGGCCCGCCGAGCCGCCTGCCGGCCGCTCCCGGGGGGCACGGGGGCTCCGCCGGCCCGGGCGGGCGCGCGTCTCGGAGCGCAGACGGCCGGGGTGGGGGGACTCTGTCCGTGCCTGCCCGCCCGCTTGCCCGCCGGTCTGAGCGTCTGTCTGTCCGCGTGAGCGTCTGAGGCTCCCGGGGAAAGCCGCGCCAGCTGGCTCCCCCAGCGCGCCGAGCCGAGCGCCCGCCTCTCCACCGCACGGTGATTGGCGACCAGCGGCTCCCGGGCCCGTCCGAGCCCCCGGGCTGGTGCAAGGGCGTGGGATCCCCGGCTCCCGCTCGGAGGGAGGAGGCCGAGGGGGAGGGGAGGGGGGAGTGGAGGAGAGGGAGGCGGGAGAGCGCGCTGGGTCAGGCTTGGAAAACGTAATCGAAGCGCACCGCGGGCTGAGCTGAGAGGGGGCAGGCTCAGGTAAGTGGCGCGACCCCTCTGGCGGCCTGTGCAGTCTTCTCTTGTCCAAGTCTTCCGGCGAGACAGCCGAGGTATTTGGCGTTCTGAACGCCTCCCAAGCGCCAGGTGCTCCCCACCGCACCCCATCCCACCCCATCGCATTTACCTCCGGCCCTATCATTGCAAGGTGGGAATTATTAACCCCTCGAGGAAGAGGAGGAAACCGGGCTCAGCTGGGCTCAAGATAGCCTAGCTACCCAAAGAAACCGGAGGCCTGGCCAGTCTAGGGCAGCCTGGAGGGCTGGAACCCTGAGCCCGGTCACTGCCTGCAGCGCAAGGCAGGCTGGCCGTGGCCTAGCCACTTCTCCTCTTTCTTCTCCCTGTGACCCCGTCTCCCAACTTCTCGAGACTGAATCCCGGCCCCAAACACCACACACGAGTCAGAGAACTCAACCACCACCCACAGAGCTGCCATCACCGTGAATGTGCGGCTCACTTGCCGCGTGCCTGTTCATCTACTCAAGACATTTACTTAATCTTTGGATCCCTCCTGTTCGCAGGGATGAACGGAATAGCGTCTCCGAGCGAGGCCCGTGGGAAAGACTCTCATTGGATAACTCAACAATGCCAGGACCCAGATGATCACAACTACTCTAAAGGAACAGAACAGGCTCCTAAATTAGAGTAACAGCTATATCTAATTTAGCTAGGGGTGGGGATTAGGGAGTGTGTGTGTAAGATGTCTCTTCAGAGCTCACATTTCAAATAAGACCAAAGAGACTGTGCTGGTTTTACAAGGGAAGAGAGGAATAAGGTCTTGTGTGTCAGCAGAGGGGGCACAACAGAAGTGAAGGTCTTCAGGCATGAAAAGGGCTCGCCCTGGTGAGGGAGTTACAGGCCAGAGGGAGAGGCAGAGAGCAGAGGGCCAAGTTGCCAGGACCTTGTAGGCTGGGGGAAGCATGTAGGAATCTGTTAGATTTAAGATGTGAGAGAGAGGGTGTGTGGAGAACAGCGTTATCTCTAATACAGAGTCTCAGTGTGTGGATAGGGACTGGCGGTGCTGAGGTCGGGCCAGAGAACAGGTAAGCATACTTGCTAGAATCAAGGTTAATAATGACACCTCCTGGACCAGGATGGTAGCAGGAGAGGGGGACATGTACCCTGCTCCAGTCCTAAGAGTACCGAGGTGGTTAAGAGGAGGTCCACATCACAGCTTAGGACAAGTGACAGCTCAGTACACGTAGTCTGTGTCCCTGGATACAGCAGCGACAAGGTGACCTCCAGGCTGCCCGAGCAGAGCCCTCCTGCTAGGGAATGCCTTTGGGAAAGGCCATGCAGTGAGGAAATCCAGATTGAACAAACCAGTAGGGTTTCCCAACATAATCTGTTTCAGCTCTAGTGGCCTCCATTGAATAATCTGTGAAACGGGAATAAACACAATGCATCGGAAGGATAGCTCAAGGATTGACTGTATTTTTCTGAGCACTTTATATGTGGACTTTAAAAGTGAGAACAGAGGATACATTGTATTTCCGTGACTTCGTACATCCGATGTCAGATTTTAATGTGCATCAAAATCACCTGGGGTGCTGACTTACTATGCACCTTCCTGGGCCATGCACCACGGAAATTCTGATTCGGTAGATTTGGTGCGGGGCCCAGATATGCATCTGTAGCAAGCACCTGTGGGGGCTTCTGATACAGGTGACTTCCGGGCTTTATGTGGTCTCAGTAAAGAATTGGACACCAAGGGAGTGGAGGCTGGAGAGATCATAACTTCCAATTCCATCCATTTGCAGATGACTGGGTCCACTGTCTTCTGTAGGGCCAATATATAAACACTGCAAAGCCAGCCTTAACTTCTGAGATGATTGTATATATTCAATTATTCCCAGAACTAGCCCTGCAATATGTATAAATTGCCTCTAGATGGTGACAGAGAGTCAGGAGCATAAGGTCTGGCCCTTCAGCTGTGAATTGCAAAATAGCACTCATCTCTTAAGTTATTTGGAAATACAAATCTTAGCTGATTTGGGGGCGCCTGGGTGGCTTAGTTGGTTGGACGTCTGCCTTCGGCTCAGGTCAGGATTCCAGGTGCCTGGGATCAAGCCTCGTGTAGGGCTCCCTGCTCAGCCGAGAGTCTGCTTCTCCCTCTGCCCCTCTCCCCCCGTTCGTGCTCCCTCTCTCTCTCTCTCAAATAAATAAACAAATAAATAAAATCTTAAAAAAAAAATTAGCTGATTTTAAAACTACGAATCTAAGACACATTAATGAATATCTAAAGTTCATAGTCATCTGTCTCAATCTTTTCAGGCTGCTATAAGAGAATTCTATAGCAGTGGTGACTTAAACAACAAACACTGGAGCACCTGGGTGGCTCAGTTGGTTAAGCATCTGCCTTCCATTCAGGTCATGATCTTGGGGTCCTGGGATTGAGCCCTGTGTCATTGGGCTCCCAGCTCAGTGGGGAGTCATCTTCTCTCTCTCTCTCCCTCTACCTCTCCCCCCTCCCTCCCTAAAAAAAGAAAGAAAGAGAGAGAGAGAGAGAGAAAAGAATGGCAGGTCCAAACTTTTTCCATTTTCTTTAGCGATAACCAGAAAGACAAGGTGCGTGCCACACAAAGAGTGAAATTCAAACAAGTGACATGTAGCCAGTTTTGTTTTTTATTTGTCAGTGACAATATAGGAAGTAGAACCTCTTAGCTTAATAGCTAGCTTTAGAAATAGATTGTCATCAAGCACCATTTAGGAATTGTCAACCGCTCTCCTCCCCTCTAGTGTTACATTTCAGTCTTTCATGGCACTTCTTAGGACATGGACCTTGATTTCTTAGCTTTACAACCTGCCTGTGTCCTAACTTATCTGTGCAATGAGATTCCTCCGCTCCATTTGCCTCTGTTGATCCCGCCCTGGCTACGCATGCTGCTCCCCTGTTCTATTTTTAGTGCTTTCCCAAGACCTACTATTAAAAGTCGTTTGTTTGCCCAAGGCCCAGGAGGCTGTATCAGAACTAGATTACTTATTTCCACAACCGGACTCAAGGCCAAATGCTGAGCTCTCTGCACAGGGGAAGAGTGGAATAGAGACTTTGCAAAAGCTCTGGGAAAAAAATCAGGCCATCGAAGAAAAGGAAATAACTTTTCTCTATGGGACCTATTCTCTCCTCCTTCTCCACCACCAGGATCTCAGCACACGCAGGCTCAGACATCTGCCCCAGGGATTCCCAAGCTCGCCTCTCTAAGGCCAGCAAGTCCTCACTCAGCGCGGAGAGCCAAGACTGGGAAGTATTACTACTAACTAAAATCTCCTGGATAATTGTCCAAACCACGCTCTTGGGCATCCCTATGAATATTCCAGTTAAGTGGGTCCGGGATGAAGCCCAGGATTTGTCATTTAACCAACACCTGGTTGTTTCTGGTGTCACTAAATGTATTACAAACAGCTCATTGTGGCCCACTGTACTTACACCTTCGCTTAAATGCCAACACTACTTCTGGGTCAACAGGATTTACAGCTTCTGAGGTGCCTTTGAGTTACTCCTTACTTGGGGAAAAATCAAAGTATAATAGAAATCATAAAGGGCAGGCGTGGGACTGAATCCTTGCTGTAGGGATGAGCAGTAAGTATTTGTTGCTTGTTTGATTAGATTTTGGGGTGGGAGAGGCTAATTTGCCTTGTAAACATTTCCATCTCCCTCCTTCTGGTTTAATCCGTGATTTAGACCCGCCCAAACATGTCATAGTACTTTTTCAGGGCCAGAATTACTGGCCGAAGAGGTGGAATCTGGACTCAAGTGTGACCTGGGAGAATCGTTCACTGGTGTTTATCTACACCATTTGGGAGAACAGACCCATCTTTCAGCTGAGGTTGTCAAAATGTGTGATTACAGCCTGGATTTGTCAGCAGCCATCCTCCTGATCTGCAATAAATGAAACTCCTCGAGGAGGAAAGAGGGAAATAAACAGGCTCTCATCAGAGGCCATGATTCTTGTACCCTCTCCTTTAATCCTTGAAATCACTACCATTTAAGCTAACTCTCTTTCCCCCTTTGAGTTGGTCTGTATTGGGTTTCCATTAATTTCAGCAGAAGTAGTTTTAGTGCTTTTTTGCTCTGTGACCTCGGACACCAAGTCTTTTTTTTTTAAAGATTTTATTTATTTATTTGACGGAGAGAGGGAACACAAGCAGGGGGGGTGGGAGAGGGAGAAGCAGACACCAAGTCTTAATGTGCTCATCGTGGTTCACACTGAGAAGATAGTCCCTCCTTCACCTATTTTTATTTCCACTCGAGTTGCAGGGAGCAACGTATATAAAATGTCTGAGGCAGAACCCAGAACCACCAGTGCTCAATAAACGGTAGCTCTTCTCCCTTTCCTGAACTTCTTTTGAACCTTATTCCTGTGGCCATTCCACTTTCTGAGGCTGTGAACTCTTGCTCAGAGATGGTGTCACCCGAATGTTCCTTTA